AATAATAATTACATATATATTAAAAAAAAAAAAGTTGCAGTGCTTTGTACAAAGCCTTGGAAGGAACACTATGCCACAATACAGTGGGGGTTGCATTACAGCTTATGATTATTTATTTTCTTGTCAGGCGTTCTTTGTTGGGAGGAGGACCTGCTATGGGTTTTTAGGTCTGAACTTAGGCACTGTTGAGGTCCTTTTGCTCCCACTGATGGCTCTGGAAACTGGATTAACTACTTTGAATTTTTCCTTATATAACTTCTCCCCCAAAGTCCAAAGGCAAAGTCACTTTGGGACATGTTCAAGCACTGCATCCCAGTGCTATTGCACTAGCCCTGCTGCCTTCGCTGCACCGTATGTTGCAAAAAGTCCAGCTTTTAACCCCAAAGTACACCATCCCTGCAGCCCAGGGAGGCTCTGGGGCCATGCCAGCCCCAGCCTGGTCCAGGATGGCAGGACCTGCTCCTGCGCCTCGTCCTTGTGGCCATGGCCCTGCATGGGGCTGTCCCCACGCCGTCCCTGTCCTGGCTGGGCTCTTCCAGCTTGTTGGGTGCTGCCGTGCTGCTTTGCCCCAGCCCTGAGCGCCTTGTTTAGCCTGATGCATATTTATTAGCAAAACTTCACACACATTTTGCCAGGCTCCAGTGCTCGATGTGACTCTGGCGGGGTTGTGCAGGGCTGGGGTCGGCTCTCAGCCTGGCATTGCTGGGGGCTCAGCAGGCTCAACAAATTAGAGTTGGGCTTAGCTGCAATTTTGGCTGAAGGTATTTCTTTTTTTTTAAAGTATTGCTGAAAATGTGGGAACTGCAGGAAAATAGCTGTATAGTCAACATTTGAGGAATTTAGTTACCCACACCGCTGCCCACCCCAGGGCATCTCCCACCCTGCCTGCAGTCCTGGGGGCTCTCCTCTGCCTCTTCCCAGCCAAAACCAACCAGCTTCACCCATGAAGAAAACAAAAATCAGTTTGTTCTCAGGGTGCCAAAAGAGAAACATGGATTTCCCAGCAGAGTCCTTGGTTCAGCGTTGTGAGTAAAGCACCCGTGGCACCTCTGGGGTCCAAGACACCACCCAGCCCCAAACTAAATACCCACAGGGCATCCCAAATGGATGCCTTGCCAAAGGGATGGCCGGTAGGTTGGGACTATCTCTCCCATAAAAAAGATCAGCGGGCTCTTTATTTTTTTTTTCTTTACAGTTTTATTTACAAAATGTATTAAAACTCTTTGTACAATACCTCATTAAAATGAGGCTCAGTAATTGATGCCCACACATGCAGTTTATGCTTTTACAGCCATTAGTTTGCTTGGCAATTTTTCTGCTCACTGAAGTGCAGTTTCAACGACCAAAACTAGGAACTTAAATTAAAAAAAGAAAAAAAAAAGAAAAAAAAAAGAAAATATAAAGAACCCCAAAAATCCCCTAAAGCAAAACAAATAATAATAATAAAAAAAACCGGAAACAAATCATCATGAGACTACTGCCAAACTTCCGATAGCTTGAAGTTGGTAGCCAGAACTGGTAAGCACTCAACACATTTTGTTTTAGCTTTACATGCAAGTTTAAAAAATATCGAACCATTTACCAAACTTCCTTCACTGGTGTGAAGCCTCCACTCTTAAAAATTGATTTGATAAACATACATCTTTTATACAGCTTTTTAAGAAAAATGTTTGTTTTAAATACAACTCATAACCGCACAGCTTTAGCTCGCCCTTGTGGGGGACGTGATCGCATTCAGAAGTTGAAAAAAAAAAATAAATCACAGTTTCATGAAAAGAAAATTAAAACAAAACATCAATTTTTTGTCAATATGTTGTTAAAAACTTGAACAATAAATTATTCTCCTATGAGCTTTTAAAATTATTTTATATTACATTTTGTTGGAAATACTTAATTTTAACAAGACTTTCCCCATATAATAATTTTCTTTTTTATTTTTTTTAAATCCTATTAAAAGTTCAAATCTATCATCAGCAAACTAAATGCCTAAGGGTCAGACTGGTTTAAATGTTTCCTTTTCTTTGTATGTTACTGATGAAATAAAACTCTATCGTAAACTACAGAAAATACATATTGTCGATTAGAGGTAATTAGTATGCAGAAGATATTCCATTGAACATTTCCCGTGTGATTGACAATATGTTTAAAGGTTTTTTTTTTAATTTTGCCTTTTTTTTTTTTTTTTCCTTTTTAAAGATGAAGTTAAGTAGTTTCCAGGCAGAGGTTGAAGGCTGAAACGCTGCTGCTGGCTAAGCCGTTGGACGTGAGTCGCAGTGAGCCCCTGCAGTGTCCTCATCACAGAGAGGGTGAGGACCGGAGCATCGTCTCGCATGAAACAAGAGTTGCAGGAGCTGATAGAATATAACAGTAGTAGCTGGAGTTATGTTAGATCGTTTAATATTACTCTGGAACTGCAGCTCTAATTTGAGTTACTACCCTCTTCCCTTACTTCTGGTTTGAAATGACTGTTATGGAGAAGCGTTAGCTGAGCTGGGAGAGAACTGGGGGGAAGCGGAAGCAGGCCTGGGAAAAACTAACCTGCGCTTCTCTTGCTTCATTGCTTGATATTAAACAGTGAATTAAAATGCAAATGCACAGCAAGAAAAGAGATATATGGTCTGAACCTAAACAACACATAGCTTTTCTTTTATTTATTTTTTTTAAATGCCACCCAATGTCGTTTTCGTAAAGCACCTGTAGGTATGCTCGATGATAGAAAGAAAAAAAAAAAAAAAAAAAAAGGAATGCAATATTTTCTGCCTGCACTTTAGCTACCTTGTCAAGAAATTAATTTACTGATCTGGAAGCAAGACATGCAGGTCCACAAATTACTTTCTTTTGGATTTACAGATTCACAGTCATTGTCCTTATCTGGTTTGAATGCACAGATTTCTTTTCTTCAGGTGTTACACCTTTTACTGCTATATGGAATTGCTCAAATTAGCTGGAGAGTTTAAAGTGGCTTGGGGGAAAAAAAAAATCACACCACTGGTAAGTAAATACTGAAACATCTTGACATCAGCTCATACAAGCAGTGACAGGCCAGTCCATGTTCGCACGCAGCAGATTTCTGAGGCTTTGTGTCAGGAGGCATTTCATAATTTGATACGATTTGGGTGGCTGATGAAACCGGCTGCGGTTTGCTTTCAGGACACAAGTTCATTTACTGTGCAGTGGTATCAAAGAATGGCTTTTGTTGCACTGATTTTTTTACAATAATTTTTTTTCACTTACTAATGTCTTGTTACCAGTCCTTTTCTTTTTCTCTTCTTTTCTTGTCTGTTTCCTTTTTTTTTATTTTTTCCTTTTAGTCTTTTCTCCTTCTTTTCTTTTCTTTTCTTTTCTTTTCTTTTCTTTTCTTTTCTTTTCTCTTCTTTTCTTTTCTTTTCTTTTCTTTTCTTTTCTCTTTTCTTTTCTCTTTTCTTTCCTTTTCCTTTCTTTTTTTCTTTTATTTCTTTTCTCTTCTTTTCTTTCCTTTCCTTTCCTTCTTTTCTCTTTTATTTTATTATTTTCTTTTTTCTTTTACTTTTTCTTCTTTCAAGCAAAGCAAGAATATTTCAGTGATGGTTTGCATTGTTGTGAGTCTCAGAGTCTTCCATAAGGCACTGAAGGAAAAAATATCAGTTTTTCCTATTAAAAGTACATTGCACCATCGTCAGTGCGTGTCATGCCTGACACCTCGGAGAGAGTGCGACTGGCTCAGGTGGTCCGAATCCATGAAGTAGCCACTTTCTCTGCTGCTTCTCCTCTTGCATGCTGTCAGGGTGAGGATCTATAATAAAACCAGAAAGATTTCATCACTGCCCAGCAGCGAGGGGCAGGGAAGCTCAGCCTGGGGAGAGGCACAGTCTGTGGGCCATGGGCTAACCAGGCTTTTCCAGAGTCATTTTTCAGCAATTCAACTCTACTTTCCATGCCTTACAAATCATGATTTCTAGTGTAGACTTTTTTTGTTCTCTTGTACGTTTTTTGGAGACTTCCTAAAAGTACTTACCTGACCTGATAACAGCTTAAAAAGTACAGAGGAAGAGGTCACTAGCAAGAGAGATGCAAATTCTGCTTACAGGAATTTAAAAAACAATTTAAAAAATACCTTTATATGTACTGAACTAGCACAATGCTGGAGAGAGGAGTGACTCACTTCACCACGAAGCCAGCTATCACTGTTTGTAATATATGTACCAAGCTTACTTCTGCTCAGGGAAGAAATTTAAATCACTTATATTCTGAGACTGCCACCAGACGATGTTTCAAAAGCCCCTTTGCAGAAGTCTGACGATCCACACACCAGAATATCACACACACCTTAAAAAAAAAAAAAAAAAAAAAAAAAAAAAAGGAAGGAAGAAACCCCAGAGGTGGGAGCTCCCGTCCCGCAGCCGTACCCCTAGATTTTCACACTTTCTGTGCCGTACACATTGTAGCCTTCTCGGTACGTAGCGTAATTCTGGGTGTTGGTGGCGGGAGCAGGTTTGAAGTTCTGCGTGTTCTTGGTGAGTTTCATTCGCTTGGACTCGGCCCGAGACTTGTAGCAGAACTCGATCAACGCCACCATCATGGCCAGCCCCAGGCCTCCCACCAGGATGTAGAAAACCCCGGCGACATTGCTCAGGCTCAGAGCGCTCGTCTTGTCCTAAGAGAAACGAGCCAGGCGGTCAGTCGTGCTGGGAGGAGCAGGCAAACAGACAGACAACAGGCTACGTGGCACTTAGTCCTAGCTGGAGTAACTACACTCGGTCAGTGTCCCACGCGTGGGTCGGTGCTGGCCCCCCCGTCCCCGACAGCCCGGGGACTGCTCCGTCTCCCACCCTTCGGCGGGTGAAACCCTGGCCGACTCCAAGGCGGTGTTTTTTTTTTTTTTTTGGTCACTGACTTCCCCAGGCCTTTGGCATCCCAGAGCAAACCTGTCTATGGCCAAGCATCTCTGGTGGCAAGGCCACCATGGGAGAGCTCTGGTGGGGACAGCAGCGGCTACGTAGAACGGCAGGTTTTACAGGAGGCCGCTATAAAACTAGAAAAAGAAAAACCCAAACCACTGCACACTTGGTTTTGGCGAATGTAGATAAAATTATTGCGATGCTGCTAAACTTATCTACCTTTTTTTTTTTTTTTTTTTTTTCCCAACAGTTAGGGAAAAAAACCATCCTAACAAGGCAGTCAGTTATTTTAAGGTCAAGCAGCAGAGCCCTAAGCCAAACTGGTGCCTTTGGTGACCGAGGGAGAGCAAGTTCCTGAACAAAACCAGTCATTGTGTCACCCTCACCAGGGTTTACCTTCCTTCAATACATGTCAGATGGGGGAGAGGGTTTGCATGTTTAAAAAGAGGTTTCTGTCATCAGATTAAATGGAGCCGCAACCCTTTTGCTGCTGTGCGGGCTGGCTGCCGGCAGGAATTGATGGTGGCCACATGGCCACTGGCCATCTCCATGCCGCACTGGCCTGGCGGGATGGACAGGGGCCAGAGCAACCTGCAGCTAGGGGCTGTGCTGACGGAGCTCAGTTTACAAGCATCTCCAGGGACAGCAAAACATGCATATAGTCAGGAAAAGATATGATGTGCCTTGTTAAGTGTGTGTGCATTTCAGTTTGGATGGATGCAGTTGTAGCAAAGAGCCAATTAAACGGAAGCTATCACTCATTTACACCTCTTTTCAATTACAGTTTTCTTCTGCAGCTGTTGTGCGTTCGGATGGCCCATGATCCCAAATTCAACTCATACTACAGCTACAGGGTTGTGCCCTAAGCAACTTCCAGTCCAGCTGAAATCAATGAATTTTTTATTATTGGCTTCCTTGGAACTTGAAATTGTCCTCTGAGAGGGTGAGAGAGTGAGGGTGCTGAGAGGGTGCTTCCAAATTATAGTTTTCTGTTTGAATGATTACAGAGAGCATTTCCAAAGGCACCAGGGGAGCGAGGCACTCCACTGTGACTCATTTCAGCTGGAGATGGATTTTTCCTCCTCTTGGTGCCTTTGAAAATGTCCTTTACTCCAACAAGCTCAGCACTTCTACAGAGATTTTTTCCTCTATAAGCATTAAAAAAAAAATAATCCTCTGTGTTTTCTTTTAAAGGAATGGTGTAAATAATAAATACTTCGTCCAATTTAAGTGTGTAGCTACCAAGTGGATCCATGTGTCACCTCAGGGGTGGGATGTCCCCTGGGCTCTGCAGCGTCCTGCCCGAGGAGCTGCTGGAGGCTGGCCGGCCCTGCAGCACAGCAGCAAAACGGTTCAAAGCAGGATTAAAAAGAACATAATATTTAAGTAATAAATTAACAATAGTATTTTTGTAGATTTTTTTTTTTAATCAAACCAACCTCAATCTGAATTGGGAAATGGGGCAGGAAGGGTGGTTTTTTTCCTTATCACAGGTCTGTTCTGAAATCGCCCACCCTTACCAAGCATGTGACTGGTTCCCAAACTGACATGTAGAGAATCTAAGCCCCAATTCTGAAACAAAAATGTGGGCTTTCAGTAAAACTAAAAATAAGAAAAGTTGCTGGCCTGAATCATACTCATTGATTGTGCTGAAACTTTGCACATTTAATTGAAGATACCAGCTTGGGAGGTTTTGGGGGCTTCTCTTTCCATGTTTTTCTAGCAAAATAGACAGTAAAACATACTTACAACTACTACAGTCTGTTACTGCATAAAAGAAAAATGCTGTCACGTTCAGAGACTTAATTATTCTTTTTCTAGTCTTTTCTTTCAACCTTCAAAATGTAAATACCAACTTTTGAAAGTCATTCTTTGTATAAAACAAACAGTGGGTCAAAATGTGATTGCTAATCAGTACAAAAAGACCTTCAGCGACTGACCTTACTTCCGGAGTCCTTGGCTCCACATTCACCCTTATCGTACCACCATTTGTTTTTCAGCTTGTCTAAGATGCCTTGTTCACTGAGTTTCAATACTGCAAGGTTTACAGGAGTTCTTCACGTGGGAAATAACATAAATAACATTATATTATGTTATTTTATGTTATTCAATCTTTAAACTACTTTAAAACTATACAAAGCGATAAAGCAGGGTTCCTGGCCACAAAGTATTTACACTGCAGGCAACTGGATCATCCCCTTTAAGTTAACGCTACAGCAACGCTATATTACCAGGTCCTGCCCATATCGCTTTGAGTAATCGGCACTCACTGTTAAATGAAGGTAGTAGAAACGAAGCAAGGCCAATTTCCCAGTTTTGTACAAACACAGGCGTTCACAGTAGCTTTACGGACTGTGCTGGGTCTGATCTCGCAGGACCCCTCCTATTGCACTAACAGACAGCAAGCCCCATGAACGAGCACGTTTGGCTTCTTACAGTGATGTGTGTGTGTGTGCACATCTGCAAATCAAAAAACCCCAGGGTGGGTGTCAGGAGGGAGTTTTTGCAGCCGTCACGGCCGTTTCCCTGGTGGCGGTGGGTCGGAGGCACCGCGCGGGCACTGGCTCTCCCCTGGAGCTGCAGCATTCCCAACTTTGCCAGTCCAGGGAACTGCAGCAGCAAATAAGCAAACGCAGACCTTTATGAAACAAATCAGTGACCACGGGAACGCCAGCTGAAAGTGCCCCAGGTGGGAGACGCTGTCAGGACGAAGTGAGCTGCTGACTGATGCTGCCAAGAGCCGGCAAGCCCAGGGGACCTGAGCTTGCCTGTCCCTTCCCTGCGGGAAAGCGGCGCCTGAGGAGCCCTCTGTTGGATCGGGTTTTGTCATTTCCATTTCCTCCTTGTGTGATGTCTCGGGGTTTTTCCTGCCCGTTTCCATGAGACAGGCTCCCTACGTTAGGGACATCTTCAGTTCCTGCACCTGCTTGAACAGCTTCGATCCCCGCTCAACGGCCACGCAGGGCAGCTGGTGGAGAGGAAAGGGATGGGGCTTTATCCTCAATGATGCCGTGCCACTTTGTGTGGGATAACACCAGGCAGACATGCACAAGGCTGCCCTGAACATGGGTCCATCCACGCCTGCCGTCAGCGGAGGAGAGGCAGGAGCTCAGCCCACGGCTGCCCCATGCCAGCTTCACTCCTTGCTCTCACTGCTCCCTGCCAAAGCGCACGACTCTCTGCAGAGCAGAAGAGACTCAGGAGAAAAAACAGCACAACCTAGACAAAAACACCTTAATTACAAGCTTAATTACATGGCGGCATTTAGGGAAATGTCCCAGTGGCAGAGCCCTGCTGTGCCTGGGGTGGGCAAATCCTGGAAAAAGCAGCTGGTGAAGAGAAGGCCCATTCCCCAATCTGCCGAGAAGCTGCCTCCGAGATGGCCATGAGACCCGCTGGAGGCTGATGTTGAAAAGCACCGTCCTCGGAGGTGCTCTGTGCCCGTTGGGAGGAGAGCAGGCACCAGGTGCCACCCCGGAGGGTGGCAGCCCAGGGACGGGGGACAGGCTGGGCAGGTCATGGGGGTCCATGAGAAAATTGCGCGTGTTCGAGAGTTCCTGAGCTGAATGCCCCACAGGCTGCACCAACGTGACCCATCACGGTGTCCCCGAACCCAGCAGGGAGGGCAGCAGCAGGGAGAAGCCACCTACATGGGGAGAACGGCTGGTCCTGGTGCCGCCTGCGCCCATCCCGGCTGGCCAGGCAGAGGCAGCACCTCTCCTCCTGCTCTGCACAGGGCTCGGCTTGACACCGGCCAAGATTTTATTTTTGTAAAATTGCTATTTTGAAGCAGCAGCTGTAATCTAATTAAGGATCAATCAGGGAAAGCTGTACACGCTCAGCCGGACACGGCCGACGGGCGGCAGTGACAAGCCTCAGGAGACGGGACGCGTTTGCTGGCTCGCTCCGGCAGCAGGCACAGAGCCCTTCCACCCTGAGCCGGTGGCATCATAAAAAGCCAGCTGTATCGCGGCTAGGTTTGCATCCAGTTATAGACAGGCTTATAAAATATCACTGTGACCAAAGCACCCTCCACAGACACTGCAGATCCCTGCCCCGTTGGCTTCTGCTGGAGGGGACCAGCCAGGTCCCGGCCAAGCCACCACCATGGACCCTCCTGGGCAGCTGTGTTGTGACCAGGCTCCTGGTGACACCCGGGAAAATATGGTTGTAATGCAAGTCAGTGAAAGCTGAGTGCCTTTGCCCACCCGTTACAAGCCCCAGCAGAACGAGCGGTGTGGATTACTGCTTAGAGAACAGTGCTCTCATTTTAAATTTCATTTAAAAACTATCCAATTTGGAGAGATTTTATGCAATACATCTCTCTGCTTTGAAAAGCATTGTGCAGCTGAGAATACGCAAACAATAGGGAGAAGGTTACAAACATCTTTCCTCCTATCCACATTTTTTATTGTGCAAATTTTCCCCTCCCCCCAGTCCTATTCCAAACACTATTTTTAATTTGCATGCCTTTATAAACCCCATATGGAGTACAGAGAATTTGCATAACATCCAATACATTATAGATTAGCTTCCACAACATTATACAGTATTGGGAAATGAGGAGGCTTAACATGCTAATTAGGGTGCTTTATTTTTTTTTTTAAAGCCAAGATTGCAGTTAATTACGCAAACGCAACTGCCAAAAAAAAAAAAAAAAGGTAGCGAACTAAAATTATCTTAACTAAACAGACGGGAATTTGCCTAAACTGGGGTTTTCACTACAGTTTGTCATGGCTCTGTTTGTCAGGTGAGGTACTGCAATGCTCAGCCCAGGTAGGAAAGAGGTGATTTGCTGCGTCCGTCTGTCCCGGCATGAGGAGTGGAGCAGGATGGGCAGACAGGCGCTGGGGAGAAGGTGCATGCTTCAGACCCACCAACCCCTTGCCGGCGGAGCTGTCGCCGTGCCGGGATGTGCCGGTGCTGGGGGGGCTGTAAGGAACCCTGCGTGGGATGAGGGCTGGTCATGGGTGGATGCTACGACATGGGCAGGTCAGGTAAGGAGAGACCAGGGCAGGAAAGTCTGACATGAAGCAGTGGCTGGAGCTTGTCCTCCCCTGCTGTAGCCCGTCCTGTCCCCCTCGGCACACAGACGAGCTGGAGGTTCGCCTGAGCGAGCTCCCGGCTGCCCTCGGCTCTGCCATTTTGCTGGCCCGGGCACGGGGATGAACAGCCTGTACCGGAGCACAAAAGCCCTCTCAATGCGCTAGAAAAGGCACTAATTTGTGCTTCACAGTTGTAGCACGAAATGCAGCTTGTTTCACCAAAGTCCTAAGGAACAATTTTGTCTGCTTCCAGGATATTAACCCCAAGAGCTCCGAATGGGCGAGCTGCTCTCCCGTGCAGCAGGATTTGAGCGACCCGAGGGTGGGAGAAGGTGGGAGGCCTCTGCAGCCCCCAGTCCAGCACTTCCCCCGTGGGGATGCAATGTGAGCTGGTGCGGGATGGGCGACTCAGCTCCCAAATTCCCGAGTTCAGTAAATATATTGAAGAGTGAGCCTGGCTGCTGGTACGTTTTCCAATTGCTTGTCTCCGAGACGCTGTCTAGCCCTGTTCAATTTAATAGTCAAGAGTTGGGCATGGCTTTGGCCAAGAGCCTGATGGAGGGGCCGAAGGGCATGTCTCGATCGTGGTGTTTTTCTCGCCGAACACTCAGCAGCATGTTTCGAATGTGAATCCTCTTCTTGCAACTCGACCTATCCCAAAAAAGGCCCTCGGGCAGTGCCAGCACCCCGCCCACGCTGGCAGGGCAAAGGCTGCTGAGTTGCAAAGTGTTTTCTTGGCTATCGAGGGGGGAGCCTGGGGTTCTTCTGGGAGCGAGGGCTGCTGGCTGTAGGAAGGGGATTTTTCATAGCCTGCCCTGGCACTGTTTGGTTGAGGGGGGATTTTTTTTTTTTTAATTGCCTTAGAAGCAGAGGAGTGGAGAGACTAAACGTCTCGCTCTGGTCCTACAGGAAGCTGTGACCCAGCCGCCAACCTGCCTCTTGGCTGGTTGCACCACCTCAAAAATGGCTCAGAGGATCATCTGCTCAGTTTCTTGGTGTCTGTCTCAAAAGACTTCCATTTCCTCATCTTTTTCCTGGGATAATTTTGTGCTTTCCAGCTGCTTTTTTAATTAGGTTGCTGTTGTTGGGCTTTATGGGATATCCTTCAAGGTCCTTGGCCCTTTCCCGGGTGGCTTCAGCTGTTTCTCCTCTGCTTTAATTTATGATGAGATTATTTTTCATCCCCCCACTGTGGTTTCCAGACCAGCTCTCTATTGGTTTGGTTGCTGTTATCAAAGTAAAACGTTAATGTTTGAGATCTTGTGCTCTCTTGTGCTCTGTACACCCAGGAAAATGAGCTGAAGCAATTAAGATCAGGATGTCAGTATTTCGGATGTCACAGGATGGTATTCTTGGGCAGAAACTTGCAGCGTTTTAGTTCCTCACCATAATTGAAGGATTTTTTTTTTTTCCCTTGTGCTTTTCATCCAGGTGTAGTAGGCTTGTCTGATCCAGGCATAACCATGTGAGGTTGGATCTGTTGGGAAGCTTCACCAAACCCCACCAAGATTTTTTTTTTTGCTGACATCTACAAATGACTGGAAGACTTGAGTCTAGAGAAACGGTACCGGGAGCCTCATACTAAATAGTATTGCCTCGGATGGCAAATTAATCCATTTGCTATGGTTGATTTATTTAAGAGAGGCACGCCTTTAAGATCGGTGTCCACCTCTTCTCACAGATTTCACTTTATCAGAGTCTGCTGCAAACCTGAATTTACACCCGGGACAGAGGGTTTTATCGGTGTTTTCAGCAGTTTGGTTTCTCTGCTCCCCTTTTAGGAGACCCTGCTCAGATGTCATGAGTTACTGGTAGAAAACAAGCTGTGCCAGTCTTTTTCCAAATGCAATGTGGCAACACCTCAAAGGGAACCTCCTCTGCCCTTGGCTGTGTGGCCCCGGGGCTTCCTCCCTGCTGCATTTCAGCCCCTCTTGGCTTGGGACACCAGCCCCAAAAGTGCTGCTGCATCCCTCGGGGCTGGTGGCCCCAGGTGACAGGATGATGATGACA